AAGTGGTGTATGATGAGTGGTGTATGATGAGTGGTGTATGATGAGTGCTGTATTGAACAGCTGTTGAATGTCCGTAACACGGAAGTTTAGCACACTAAACTTCCTTTGACTAGGAACAAGTGCATCGCTACTAGCAACAAGTGCCTTACTAGTAGTAACGAGAAGCTAGTAGAAACAAGTGCCTTACTAGTAGTAATAACTATGGACATCGGAATATGCCGAACACCGATATGGCGCCACCGGACAGGCTCCACCCCAAAGCTTGGCATCGGATTCCTTTGCCCAAACTAACCTTTGCCCAGCCATTGACTTTCCCTCCAAGAAGCAGTGGAACCCCATGGGCACTCACATGCTTGTCATGTATGATCTTCCAAGGGGCTAACGGCTAATGGTGCCCACTTAGGGTAGAAGGTAATCATGTCCCCGGAACAAAGCCAGTCTCCCAAGCCACTGAGGTTGTTTCTCCCTTTTTTGAACTTTGACACATTGACAGTCACCAACAAACGTCTGATGCAGGGGAGCTAACGGGAACTGAGGACTGAGACGGATCATGACGGATATATGATATACTATAGGTGTGAACCGCTCGTTGAAGTGAGGTGACACACAAGAAACAAGCAAGGTTACCATTCCTGGCACATCTAGGCCATACCAAGTATTTATTTGTTGCTGGAGTGGCGGTTTGTCTTTGAGCATAAAAGGTGGATTCATGCGTAGTTGAGAGACCCACAGTTGACGAAGAAGCCATCGCCATGGGCCTTCCCATGCAAGAGCCTTTCGAGTGTGAGGCGCTGGAGCCCCTACAAAGCGGTATCAATCGACTTGGGACTGATCCTTTTGGCCTTAGACACCTACGCTGCTTACAAGTGCCTGTCTTCAACCGAAGTGAAACTCATGTCTTTCCCCCCGAGAAAGTAGACAGATTTCGCAGTCCCATGTAGTCCGTGATGGCTACTTGGAAATACCGAAATACCACTACTGCCGTGGCCTTTGTCGGCGCGATCCAATGCCACTCACCAGTAGAGTCTGGGATCATCAAACCAACAAGATCACTGTGAGGAAACGTGAGTGAGGATCACTGCCGTGGCATTTACACTCCAAGTCGTGATCCTGTTGGTTCTTTTTTGCATCATAAAGCCCCTGGACCCCCATGATAAAGAGAGGGGGCTGTTTGTTGATCACAAAGCAAGTTTCCCTAAAACTTAAAACTGAAAAGAAACACGTGAACAGTGCGAGCGCTTCTTCAAGGAAGTTCTCCTCTGGCCCTCAGGCAGGGGGAGCTTCCTTAAAGAAGCGTGAGCTTTCCTCTGTCGGTGCCCAGTAGATAGCTATGCTTAGCTTACCTCCTTTACCATCCTTTACCTACTTAGCTACATCTTAGCCGACCCCACCCCCCAACGGATCCACGATGTCCCTCGACCAGCCCAGCGTCGAACTTCAGTCTCACCTTGGTGAGGTCCTGAGTCGGACGTGGGCCGCGTGGGTTGCGTGGGCGGTGCGGCCAGCGCAAATCCGGAAGTGACGACCGAACCCAGTCACAGAGTACACTCCGGCCGTTGCTCAGTCTTCCATATAGTTATCCGGTGGCAAAATAGATGTGCCAAGAGTTGAGTTTGGGTGTATGTCCCTTCAAACCGCATGCTTGGATGCTTTCGGGTCGGTCATGGACGGAATAGCAGTAGACGAGCAAACAAGGGAAACCATTCGTCACCATGACAGTCACCATTCTGAATCGCTTGGAAGCGCAAAGCTGGGCGTCGCCATGGCACAGTCTTTCAAAAAGCAGCGCTCCACAACAAATCATGCCAGGCCATATGAAACGGATCGATCAAGGTGATCTCCAGATGTGAGGACGGACTGGCGTGACTCCTTCCTTCAGTTCATCGCTTAATCTCACAAACATATGATACCTGGATTCCCACAGTTCACGGGTGAGGAACCAGCTGGCGCATAAACTACAATCTCAGAAATGAACACCAATATGAAATTGTCCAAAGCAAAGCTCATGCAAGCTGTTTGTCCAAAGGTCAAAGTCTGCAGACTGCTTGGTAAGGTGACACCTTCCAAGCTCCGGTTGAACCAATGGCTGAAGGTCAAAGTTTGCAGGGTGCTGGGCAAAGTGACCTCTTCCAAGCTCTGGTTGAAATATCCATCAAACACCAAATTCTGCATGCTTGGAAAGGTGACACTTGCTAATCTCAAGTTGAAGTCTCCACCGAAGATCAATGTCTGCAGGCTGCTTGGCAAGGAGACACTGTCCAACCTCTGATTTGGACTGCCGCCTAAGGTTAACATCTGCAGGCTGTTTGGCAAGGTTACACTTTCCAACCTCTGACTCAGGCACCGGCAGGATCTGCGAGGCAAGGTGATACCTTCTAAGCTTTGGTTAAAGTGCTGGCCAAAAGTCAAAGTGTGTAGGTTGTCTGGCAAGGTGACACCTTCCAAGCGCTGGTTGAAACTTTGGCCGATAGTCAAAGTCTGCAGGCTGCTGGTTGAATTTGTAGCCGAACGCCACAGTCTGCAGGCGCTTGGCAAGGTGACACCTTCCAAGCTATGATTGAACAGCTCGCCAAAGGTCATACTGTTGTGATTGCATTGATCACAACAGTATGGGACTGGTCTTTCCTTCCCTCTGTGAGGGCCCTGCTGAACGCAGTTGCTGCCTCCAAAGCGCAAACCGGTCGAACAACATAGATCTCTCGACCGCACTGCACACTTCGTGCTACTCCGACCCATGCTGTAGAAATTGGCCGTGAGCAACAAGGACAAGTTTTTGACCAGCTTTAAGGCCAATTCTGGTTCCGATAGCCGCTGAGAGGTTGTCCGCCTAATTTGTGACTTCCCTGAGTCGAACTATAGTCGAACGCCCTGGAAATGTGGTGAAGGTTCCAAGTTCAATGGTCCAAAATATGTCGAAAATAATGTATATATTCAGGCGTCAGTGTATGTATATATTGTTTCTTCTCCCGGTCAAATTGGAGGGTCTCCTTGTTTCAAAGATCACCATCCTCCAGGGGCGGAACCATATCGCTACAAAGGGATCCACTGAAAAGTCCAAGAACCACACATCTTCAGTGGATTTGTGTTCACATTGTTTATACCAAATCACAAAAGTGCACAACCCGTGGGAACCCCCGCTGAGATCTAGGTAGTAAACCTAACCAAATGTCTTTGCCTCTCAACTAGGCTTTGATGGTTTGCAAACCAGGCCTAATTAGGTTTTCCCTTGAATATTGTTTCTGGTCTTCTGAAATTTGTTCTTCCTCTTCCATATGTTCTTTCCCTATGAATTGTATTAGTGACACCCACTATTCACTTGCCATGGATTGGCGGACAAGCGCAGTCGAACGTGTGAAATAGTCCAAGAGTTGAGATTTTCAGGGAATTCGATTTTCCGTTTCATACAAAGGTCATCCACAAAACAGGCTCATCGCTAGTTGGAGGCCAAACACCGTGGGTCTTCGGCCCAGACCGGTCTCCATTGCACCACCGTTCCCCTCGTTCTTCGCGTTGGACACCAAGGGTGCAACACCACTCTCCGGTTTCCCCCCGAAAGCGGCGCTGAATTGGCGGAGGGCTGCGGTTGGAGGATCCACACTGAAGTGAGGTCTTTTACGGGGAGACAACAGGAACCGTCTCATACACCTGTCAAGACCCACATCTTCAGTGGAGATGAATGATTTGGAATGCTTTTGATAGGATCAGTTGCTGTTCAAGTCAGAAATCTGAAGAGAGCCGGTCATCCGTGGTCGCAGCACGAGGTGACACTTCGGTCCGATCGTTGGGCTCCATGTAGCGTTGATCGGCGAACACATTGGGATGGGTGTCATGAGCGGATTCCAACCAGTTGAAGCTGCACTTTTAGCACTGTTCAACAGTGGAAGCTGCAATCACCAGCAACGAAGATGGAGTTTGGAGTTTGGCCAAATCAACAGCCTTTATGTAGGTTGGAGGCCATCGCTTCTAGGTTGGAGGCCATTGCCTTTAAGGGACCATCCATCGGCTCATATCGGCTCTGAAACTGCACACTGCATGCGATGAACTCTCGACACGTCCACACTCTCACCAAGGCGCGGTGTAGGAGCAATGATGTTTCTTCGCCAGTTCCATGGTCAATTCATCCCCCTGCGGACACGCTCGATTGCACCTTTTGTAATGGGGATGGGGCGACGGTGGATGAAACAAGGAAGGTAAGCCTCCCCTTTTCATGGGACCTGACTTTCCTTTAAACACCTCGTTTATTTTCTTTTGACCGGATATATGATATTTCATATGTTCGACGTTTGTATAACTCTTGATGAAAGCAATGCACTGCTTGCTGCAGGCAAATTGGCTTGCTTTGGATGGCAAGGTTCTTGGTTCGAACTCACTTTTCTTGCAGTTGCAATGGGGCGTGATTGAGAAAACCGCAAAAACGCTTCGTTGCCCGACGATCCTGTCTCACGAGGCCATTGTTTAAAGGTTCCTGTCAGAACAGCTGCTGGGACAAGGGAGAAATCCAAAACGCATGCAAGAACAGGGTGATAAATGGTGAATATGCCGAGTGTTGAACCTCGGTGAACCCTGTACTATCCTGTTCTTCCGTCCTTTTTCTCCAGGCCTCGCACAGCTTGGGCTTTTTGGCCTCGATGTTGAAGATATGGTCGCGGTACCTGGAAACGATCCACACCGAAGCAGAAACTTCTGGGGAGTTAAATATGTCTGTGGCAATATTGTGCATACTACTACTTGAAAATACTTGGAAATACAATCTACATGTATATATAATGGATACGTATGATGAGATAGATCTTTTTTGGACTTTCATATGTGCAAAAAAACAGGTACAAACTGCTTAGATACCAACCCACATTTCGGGTTCTGCAGTTGTTGTCCTGGAGATGGATAGCTGAATAGCACCCCTTTCAGGACACCGAGCATGTGTTTCTATCCATGACCAAATCACCCTCAAAAAGGCTAGTCATCGTGAGGTAAAATGGGACGCGAACGGGAGTTCCGGGCTGACTTCGTGGGCCCAGTGAAGCCACATCGGTGGATCCCTTTTTGGTGCGGGCAGCTCTTGCCCATTGAGTGTTGTGGGTATCTTCACTTCGTTTTGCTTTTTTTACACATGTCAAACTAGGGGTCAGTGATCAAACTTGGTAGTATGAGCAGCCTGCAAACATAGTTGAATCATGTTGAATACGATGTCATACTATAATGAAAACATATGCGTTATTTACAGCCCTGCCTGGTTTGAACGTTCCAGTCCGAAACACGTTTGCTCAGGTCCCCATGGCAGGGAGAATCAGTATTAAACCTTGCTGAACCCTAAAAACCCTGTCAGCCCTTGGGTGGAGACGATTCTCCACTGCGCCACCCACTTCCACCAAAATAGCCATGCTAACAAACTCATGCAATCAAAGGATCATTTAAAGAACCGTTCAAACCGTTCTCCAGACGGACACCCACTTGGACTGGGACACGGGACGACGAGCGCGACCGCGAACGGCGCACCAGGTCATGAAAAGCTTGGCATCGACTGGGCCCTCACCCACCTCACACCTAGGTTGTCGTGGTCGTATTCATGTTCCTATGGCGAGTGTCGCACACCGTCATGGTGCTGGATTTTATATGGGGCAGCACATGACGACTGTGATCTTGAATGTTTGGACAATGCTGTGGGAGATTTTGGATCCATAAGTTGATTGGGAGGTGTTCACATCGGTTTTGATAGCTTTCTGGCCGATCAGTGAGGCTGAAACTTTTGCAGTTCCATTTTCCAGCAAAGGCTCTTTTTGAACATCGGCCACTCTTTAGCAAGTGAGAAACAGTGTTCAGAATGAAGCTCTCAAACCAGCTGAATCGAAGAGGGGTTTCATGTTTTATTCTCAGGGGATCAGTCGCAAACTTCCCCCAACAACATGCGAATGAGTAACAGGTGCATCG